TTGTGACCAAATAAGATTGTAAAGGCGTAATAGGACTGCAAGGGCTGACTGATGTAAATGTTGTAGCATGCGAATATGAATGTCGTCGGGCCCAGCTGCCGATGATCGGCAAGCTGAGTGTGTTGCCTCCAGTTCTTGAAGTGTAAAAGGCACATTATACTGTTCTTCTCTGAGAGAAGAAAAGTCCAAGGGTGCTAACTCTCTAGCAGACTTTGAGGAAAGAAATGAGGGGCATAGATGGAGTCCCTGAGAAATACGGACCAGATGATTGCCAATTTCATTGGCAACATCTAGTGGGTTTGCTATATCAACACCGGCAACCTGCAGAACAGGAGCCGGGTCAGGAGAATATTTACCACTCAGTTTTCGTACTTTTTTCCAGACTGCACTCATAGAGGAAGCAGAGGAGATGGTGGAGACAATCTTGCCAGCAAGTGCATTTAGCGTCACGGATGACACGGCGAGCAATCGCACGCTTTCTGCTTAAAATCAAGAAGTCTCTCTGTGGTTCTATTTGTACCGGTACCTGCCATATGAAAGCGCGATTTCAAACGTACTGCACGAGCACAAGCAGGAGACCACCAAGGCACGCATTTCTGAGAATGCCTGCCCAAAGTTTGGGGTATACAATTAGAAGCTGCAGTTAAAACGGAGGATGAGAAGAGGTGTAAAAGCTCATCGATGGAGGACGAAGAAGGAACCTCTCTAAAAACAGTTAGGTGTGAGTAAAGGTTGAAATTTGCCTGATCAAATTGCCAGCGTGGGATGCGAAGAGGTGATGAATATGAAGGAGAAGTAAGAATGATTGGGAAATGATCGCTGTCATGTAAGTCCGGGAGAACAGACCAAGTGAAGTCTAATGCGGCGGAGGAAGAGCAGACTGAGATCGATGCAAGAGAGAGTGCGAGTTCGAGGATCAAAATGGGTGCGAGTACCTGTATTTAAAACATGGAAGGGGTGGGTGGCAAGAAAAGCCTCTAACTGAATGCCACGGGAATCACAGCGAGACCCGAGACCCCCCCCCCCCCCCCGAGGAAATGGTGGGCATTAAAATCGCCAAGTAACAGAATCGGTGGCGGTAATGAAGAAACAAAGGCAATATCCGGAATAGATAATGCCCGAGAAGGAGAGAGATATAAAGAACAGAGCGTATACCACCTATGCAAGTGGATACGGGCTGCCGTGTAATGCAGCAAAGTATGGACAAATAGCTGATGGTACGGAATAAAAGTGCGTAGAAGGGCACTTTCATTAAAGGTCCCATCAGGAAAAGGATCTGAAGAATACAATAAATTATAGCCTGAGATGGGAGAGATAACAGAAGAGTGTAATTTTGGTTCCTGTAAGCAAACACCAACAGGGGAAAACTGGGAGAGTAACATCTGAAGCTCACCCTGATTCCCCTGAGGCCGCATATATTCCATTGTAAATAGGCCATGATTGGCAATGATAAAGATACCTGAAATCCACAGGTAAGGGTTCCTACAGACTAGAGGGGTTAGAAAAGTCCACATGCAGAGGCAGTGGAAAACGTTCAAGCAGCGAAGGAATGGTGCGCTGTGAAGAAAGGAGTTGCGCAGATGGAGGAGAGGAGAGAGAAGGAACAGAGGGTGGATCAGTGTCCATTGATGGTTTGGTCTCTGCAATATATTCAGAGATTGCTTCAAGTGTTTCGGAATTCAGAGACGTTGTATGGGAGACAATATTGGAAATGGTAGGGGGAGGATGAGTAAAGATTGGAACTGTAATGGACTGTACCAAGGTAGGGGGGGCGAAAGGGTGGAGGGAACTGGAGAAGCGTGGAAAGGGACATAATAGGCAGAAACCTGGGAGGTGGCAGAAGAGGAAGAAACTTGGGAGGGAACAGGGGAGGAAGGTACAGTATGAGGAGGAGGGTGAACCTCTACACTTGTAACAGAGCCAGTGAGAGGGGAAGAACCAGGTACTGAGACAGGGAAGGTAAAATGAGGAGGTGGAAGATGGGTAGGTGTTAACGGACCTTTTTTGACTTTTGAGAAGTAGAGGGACGATTAGGAGGAGGTGTCATACGAGATCTCATCACTACTGAGGCTTGTGAGGGAGAACACGAAGAAACGAGATCAGACCGAGGCGTTGAAGTAGGGACGTCTGAGCCTAGGACAGCAAAAGAATTAGATACAGGAGTGACTATGGGAGAGGTAACCACAGAGGTGGTTGCAGAAGATGGGGATCCCAGAAGTGGGGGGATGTTTTCAAACACGGGGAATAAGAAACACAAGGTAGTCTCCCTTGGAGGCGGAGATGAGAAACTGCCATGGCATAAGGGAGACCTTCTGCCTCTTTGAGGTAACGGATTTCCCGCTCGTTTAAGTAGACTTGACAACGGCGAGAGTACGAAGGGTGAGCCTCATGACAATTAAGGCAAGAGGGAGGTCGATTGCAAGACATATTAGAATGGTCATCGGCACCACAGACCGGGCATTCGGCAATAGATCTGCAATATTTTGCTGGATGGCCAAATCGCCAGCAATTTCTACACTGTTGCGGTGTAGGGATCACCTTTCGAACTTGTAACCGATGTCCTGCTACATAAACTGAGGATGGGAGTTCACAGCTGTCAAAAGTTAAACGAGCCACATTGCTAGGGTATCGTCTCCACCCGCGGGCAGGAAGAACATAAGTGTCTACTTTGAGGATTGGGAGATCTTGGAGTTCCAGTTGTTCAAGAATGTCAATGCCACATGTCTGGAAATTTTGTTGAACTATGGTATGGGGCAGAATGACGGTACCACTACAAGAATTGAGGGAATGATGTTTTTCAACAGTGACAGGAACAGTATCAATATGGGAAAGACGAGAAAGCTCATGAGCCTGGGTAGCATTCTGTATGGTGATGATGCGCGTACCACTCTTAAGAGCATGAAAAAAGAAATATCTTTACCAACATGGTGTAGGAGTGCCTTGCCAATACTGTGGTCAGAAAGATAGGCAGTAGAGGAAGTCGGCCATAAAGTGAAGAATTTAGTCCATTGTGCAGTCTGAAACTGAGCATGGAAAGGTAGTGAAGGACGTGTCGATCTTTTCTGAGAAGAATGAGAAGGTGGAGAAGTATCATCAGCAGGTAATTGTCGTTGGCGTTTAGGCGTGGGACCAGAGTTGGTCCGACGTGGAACGGGCCGGCGATTCGAAAATTGCCGCACCGTAGAGGGAGAGGCCGGAAGCATAGTCAGAGGAGAGCGAAGGTCAGATAAATTGAAGGAGTCAGTCGAGGCCTCAGTACCTGAAGCGGGTGAGGAAACAGCACCGGCAAGAGGTACAGAGGCATGAGGAGTGTCCGAAGAGTGGTCCAAAGACGAGGTGGGGTCAGAACGGGGTGCGGTATCAAGAAGGGGCCCGGGGGTAGCAGGTTCATGGACTAGGGCTGCCATGGTTAGGTTACTTCTTTCTTTTTGTTTTTAAGAAAAAAAAAATAAAAATAAAAATAAAAAAAAGAATAAAAAAAGGGGGGACCGGGGAGGGATAGTTCCCAGGAGGAATGAAAGGGCCAGAAATCTCCCTCCGCGCCCAAGAGGACCTCAGCACCGCAAGTAGCGCAGATGCAGCATGGAACCCATGCCATACCCTACCCATCGTGCCAGTAAACCGGCAATCCGGGATAGCAACCTCACATCTGCCGAGCTACCTCGGTGGACAAAAGAGGGCGGCCGGAAATCCGCCACAAAGCATACCTCCTTCGGCCACCACCCCCGGAATCCGAAAGGTGGCTTCCAGAGATACACCCGTCGCCGGAGACACCCAAAACCACCCTCTGGGATACCGGAGAGGGATCGGGACATCCCCAGGCAATCCAGATTCCACGGCAAACTACGCCACCGCCAAGAACCTCAACTGAATGGGATGGACCCCAGTACCCTTTCCCCTACCTAGGAACTAGCGTGCCTGTGGGGGGAAAAAAAATCCCAAAGGCCAAAAAGGAAGGGCAAAAGGGAGGGGTGGGGAGGAGGAAAGGAAAAATGGGAGGATGGGATAGGGAATGGGGGATTGGCGGGTAATTAGGTTCGGTCTGAGGAAGGAGACCGACAGGTCTAATTTCTCAGACCAAGAGCCTCTTCACCACGCCAAGGAGCCCCCCTTGAAGAGGACATTTAATGATAATGTAGTTAATGTCACATACACTGTGTGCATGTGTGTGGAAAACATAGAAGCTACTAATGAAGAACCAGTACCACTACCAGACGTTTCTTCTGAGGACCCACCCACATTCCCAAGTACATCTGCAGAAAATAAAAAAAAAACATACCAAATCAAGATAGTGAAGGTGATGAATCAACCCCATCTACAGATACTTCTGTAGACGTGGACAGTGAATCACCATGTGATTCAGACCCAGCCATGTGGTTTCCTCTCAGGAGAAAAAAGCATGTGTCCTTTTGGTCAACTGCCGCCATATAGATGCCCAAAGTGTGACACCAAAGATATAAATAAATACACATCACTATTATATGGTGTCGATGGAATATATTAAATTGTAAATTATAGTCAAAGTCAATAAAATTAGACGTCTTCGAAAACTGCTGGTTATCATTCATTTTAGTTCATTTCTTATCTGTAATTCAATTTAATTTCCATGTTGAGTGTCCCCCAGGTCTAAATCCGGTCCTGATCAAATACATAAGACCAACATCAAGGAGACTGTTTTCAATACGAGTCCATGGACAGTGTTCATTAGAATTACGAATATGTGGCAAACGAGTGTGTTTGGGCTAGTGTCCAGGGCGTTTAAAATATCAATGTTCAAGCCACGTTAACACACAGTAATAAGACTGTTAGTCCCTTATTCTATTCTATTTGATTCGCCGGTAATCCCGGCCCGGGTCTCTTCCATTTTGGTGACCCGGCAAGTCCCTTATTAATTACCAAGTGACAACCATCCCCCCATACTCCCCTCCCCATCACCCCCCCCCCCCAGTAACAACTAACTACTCACCCCCAAACCCCTCCACCAGCAGCCAACCCACGATCCTTCCCCCGCCCCACAAACAACCACTGACGTCATCCCATCCCCCTCCAGGTTAATGGCGCCATTTAACCATGGAGGTCAAGAGCAGTGGCGCCACTAGTCACTCCTCTGCCATCCACCACACCATCAACACCTCCAGCTCCTCCAGTTCCATCACCCTGTGGTAATTTAAAAACGGATTAATTCAGTTTCATGGTAATATTGGATAGATCAGTTTTGAAAATATTTTTAGCAATTTATTTCTTCAAACTGTTGAAGGAAGCATTATAAATACGTAGTAAGGCTTCAAACTATTGCTTACTGCATATCATGAATAACCTAGTAATGTTCATACTTGTATCTTTGCAGACTGTTTTGGCGTGTTGCTGCTGGTGATGACATTCTGAAGACTTGCAGCTGCCCACCACATCGCCTTCACACAGGCAATATCTTCAACCTACAAGATTCGATAAATTTAAGAACATTGATTAAAATGTAATAAATAAAGTGTTTCTTTATCACAACAATGTAAAAGGAACACGCACAAAGGTGTTCAAGGAACACAAATAGAAAAATGAAATAATTGAGAAAAGCCTCAACTGCTGTATTTGTCAGGAGGACAACATTCACACAATTCGGGAGCTTTAAGCTCGGGGAAAAAAAAAAATATACCTACCCCAACCCTACTAACAATAGTAGTAATGAGGCGGACAGCCTCAATACTGCCATTATTAATAGTTTGAGGTTATAATACATTTTTAAATTTCGTGACCTTGTCTGTCAAGGAATTCTGACACTTCCTCAGTATTAGAACACTGTACTTGTTTGTCAAGAGGATTCTGCTTGCAAGTAAACAAGGTGATAATTAGTGCAAGTTGATGACTTGTGATAGGTCGACGAGAGTATCTGATTCCTCTGAAAGTCACTGTCCCCTGAGTTCACCGCTTCCCCCCCCCCACCCTTTCAAACCATTTTATACTTACACATTTACCCAAATAAAATTTTTCATAGGGGTTATACACAGCTTGGGGAATGCTAGGCAATCACGTTGGATCCAAGGGAAGGGTACTTACAACTGCTTGTCTCAAGATACCTTGACTAGTACGTGACACCCCTTGAGGGGCATCCAAATTTGAGGTAAGAAGATCCTAAGACCACATTGTATTTCCCCTACACTTCCATGTCCCTCATACCTATTGAATGCACAGCAACCGTAAATGACCATATGACCTGTCTTTGTTACTCATTTGTGCTAAATTATCTCTAATGTTTTTACCACTGAATATATCATTGAGCAATCTTAGTTAACTTGTTAAAATTTAAGCCTGCCCATAATGTTCTACATACAAGGGGCTTTGGCATGTTGCACTGTAATAACTATTCCTTTGTACTTCACTATCATGTTCTAAATAATAAATAGCACACTAAACTAACAACCAACACTACCGGGTTATCGAACCAGCTAGAGCTCTACCGTATACCATTGTCCTAACACACTACTATGCTAGTCATAACCTACCTTGGCTGGCATCCTAGTCACAACCTGAGGACCGCTACAATCAAGCCCCCCCCCTCTATTTTTTCTGGGTTTCTAACCCAGCAGGGTTAGAAACCTATTCTCACTAATAACAATCTAAATCACCTCCCTAACTATACTCATCAGCATCAGATGTTAGTGAATCCTTTCTGCCGACTAACACTTCTGTGATCTGAAGTGAAGTTTTCAGTGATGAAAATAATAACGTCTTTAAGTAGTGAAGTCTAATGCTTCCGGCAGCAAACTATCAAACCAACCAATTCTGAACGCGAATACTTTTATATTCATAGGAATCTGAACGCTGCTTAAATGATCCAAAATGATGAAATTGTGTAAACTCAATGAATCAAATATTTAACTCTGCACAGTTTGGCCAAAGGCATAAAAAACGTAGAACACCCACCGCAACCACTACCCAAAGCCCGAAACCCACCAAAATCCCCACGGAAACCATGTGCAATAACAGATTACAGACAGCTACTGAAGGTCGTTGGTGGGTTCCAAGGCCCACAGTTCTACGTAATTTATGCCTTCAGGGGAGATTACTCTCCCCTGCTATATGCATTCATAATGCATATAGCAGATTCTCCAGTTCTATTCTTCACCTAACTACCCAAATGCATATATAAAACTACTTACAATACACTTACGGAAACCAACAATAGAGAAGCAATTCGAGACGATCTTTTGGTTTCTCTTGGACGAGTATCAAGTCAGGCCAAGGGTCAAAAAGTATAACAGACCACAAGACAGGTCGTAAAAACCATGGAGAGGGGAGAGGGTGAAATTACAAATGACGTCAGGTGACCGTTTCAAAAAACAGTAGTAGTGGTACAGACAGCAGCATTAAAAGCAGTAGTAATCATAATAGTGTAATTACTGGGAGCGCTTGAAGTTCCTGAACCTGTACTCCCTGGAACGCAGGCGGGAGAGATACATGATTACATACACCTGGAAAATCCTAGAGGGACTAGTACCGAACTTGCACACGAAAATCACTCACAACGAAAGCAAAAGACTCGGCAGACGATGCAACATCCCCCCAATGAAAAGCAAGGGTGTCACTAGCACGTTCAGAGACAATACAATAAGTGTCAGGGGTCCGAGACTGCTCAAATGCCTCCCAGCATACATAAGGGGGATTACCAATAGACCCCTGGCTGTCTTCAAGCAGGCACTGGACAAGCACCTAAAGTCGGTACCCGACCAGCCGGGCTGTGGCTCATACGTTGGATTGTGTGCAGCCAGCAGTAACAGCCTGGTTAATCAGGCTCTGATCCACCAGGAGGCCTGGTCACAGACCGGGCCGAGGGGGCGCTGACCCCCAGAACTCTCTCCAGGTAAACTCCAGGCAGTATTGGTAAGATTTGCGGTAATACCAATGGTGGTAGTGATAATGCTAATGGTGGTAGCATTAGTACTGGCAATAATAGAAGTGCTGGTAGTTAGTCTAGCAGTAAGTCCTGGTAGTAGTAACAATAATAGTAAAAGTAACAATATTCGTAGCTGAAATAGTGTCAGTACAAAAAACAGTGGGGAAATTGCGACAAGTTAACCTTCAATAATACAGTTCAACACGAGCTTACAATAGACATGAAAGGAAATTCCAGTATTCCTGTTGGCCAATGCTAGGTAAGAAATTAAAGTCTGGCTAGGAGACTGACCATCTTTTATCAAGGTTGGAGGGTAGAGCTCAAAATTAACTCGACAATTTAGTCTACAAGACTGCTGTCACCTCTGTAGTCGACAGATAAAGTCTACTCCCCAAGCGAAACATTTCATGAATAATGATACCTGTCACAATGTCTCTTACAAACCTGGTATTGTACACCATTTATGTCAAAACACAATAAAAGTTAGAGAAATCTGGTCCAGGAAAAGAGGAATCAAAACTAAGGTCAGGTGCAGTCGACAGTGGTCTCAAAACAACCCAGGTTATACCGAAACGTCTAAAGTTTCCTCCTCAAGTGTCAGTTTTGTGAACTTAGTAAAAAAAAACATTTGACTTGCCCAAAGGCATAAAAACGCAGAACACCACCGCAAACCACTACCCAAAGCCGAAACCCACCAAAATCCCAGGAAACTGTGCAATAACAGATTACAACAGCTACGGGAAGGTCGTTGGGAGGGTTCCAAGGCAACAGTTTCCTACGTAATTTATGCCTTCAGGGGAGATTAACTCTCCCCTGCTATATTGCATTCCATAAGCATAAGCAAGATTCTCCAATTCTAACCGTACCTATCCACTTAAACACACATGTAATTCTGTAAGTTATTTTAAATTGTAGGTCTGGCAATTTAGTTTCTACTGTTAAATATATATACACACAACTATGCAGCATACTCCAGTATAGACCTTACTAATTTACAGAGCATGGCGGCGCAAGATGATGAAGGGAGGTAAAAATAGATCATAGGAGTCTAGGTAAATCAGGGGGGTCTAGGTAAGATCAGGGGGTCTAGGTAAGATCAGAGGGGGGTCTAGTAAGATCAGGGGGTCTAGGTAAGATCAGGGGGGTCTAGGTAAGATCAGGGGGGTCTAGGTAAGATCAGGGGGTCTAGGTAAGATCAGGGGGGTCTAGGTAAGATCAGGGGGGTCTAGGTAAGATCAAGGGGGTCTAGGTAAGATCAGGGGGGTCTAGGTAAGATCAGGGGGGTCTAGGTAAGATCAGGGGGGTCTAGGTAAGATCAGGGGGTCTAGGTAAGATCAAGGGGGTCTAGGTAAGATCAAGGGGGTCTAGGTAAGATCAAGGGGTCTAGGTAAGATCAGGGGGTCTAGGTAAGATCAAGGGGTCTAGGTAAGATCAAGGGGTCTAGGTAAGATCAAGGGGGTCTAGGTAAGATCAAGGGGGTCTAGGTAAGATCAAGGGGGTCTAGGTAAGATCAAGGGGGTCTAGGTAAGATCAGGGGGTCTAGGTAAGATCAAGGGGGTCTAGGTAAGATCAGGGGGTCTAGGTAAGATCAAGGGGGTCTAGGTAAGATCAGGGGGTCTAGGTAAGATCAGGGGGTCTAGGTAAGATCAAGGGGGTCTAGGTAAGATCAAGGGGGTCTAGGTAAGATCAAGGGGGTCTAGGTAAGATCAAGGGGTCTAGGTAAGATCAAGGGGGTCTAGGTAAGATCAAGGGGGTCTAGGTAAGATCAAGGGGGTCTAGGTAAGATCAAGGGGTCTAGGTAAGATCAAGGGGTCTAGGTAAGATCAAGGGGGTCTAGGTAAGATCAAGGGGTCTAGGTAAGATCAGGGTCTAGGTAAGATCAGGGGGGTCTAGGTAAGATCAGGGGGGTCTAGGTAAGATCAGGGGGGTCTAGGTAAGATCAGGGGGGTCTAGGTAAGATCAGGGGGTCTAGGTAAGATCAGGGGGGTCTAGGTAAGATCAGGGGGTCTAGGTAAGATCAGGGGGGTCTAGGTAAGATCAGGGGGGTCTAGGTAAGATCAAGGGGTCTAGGTAAGATCAAGGTGGTCTAGGTAAGATCAAGGGGGTCTAGGTAAGATCAGGGGGTCTAGGTAAGATCAAGGGGGTCTAGGTAAGATCAAGGGGTCTAGGTAAGATCAAGGGGGTCTAGGTAAGATCAAGGGGTCTAGGTAAGATCAAGGGGGTCTAGGTAAGATCAAGGGGGTCTAGGTAAGATCAGGGGGGTCTAGGTAAGATCAGGGGGTCTAGTAAGATCAGGGGGGTCTAGGTAAGATCAGGGGGGTCTAGGTAAGATCAGGGGGTCTAGGTAAGATCAGGGGGGTCTAGGTAAGATCAGGGGGTCTAGAAGACAGGGTCTAGGTAAGATCAGGGGGTCTAGGTAAGATCAGGGGGGTCTAGGTAAGATCAGGGGGGTCTAGGTAAGATCAGGGGGGTCTAGGTAAGATCAGGGGGGTCTAGGTAAGATCAGGGGGGTCTAGGTAAGATCAGGGGGGTCTAGGTAAGATCAAGGGGTCTACAAAGTCTCTGTAAATATACACTAACCCAATTTCAAAACAAATCCCCCCCCCCAAGACGCTCTAAGACACTGCGCTAAACCCACAAGGCTATACTACTGAAAATATTTCTGGGACTTCAAAGCATAAAAATACTTGGCCAGGCCCTCTACAGCCCTACTGAAAATAGGAAGATGTGGTTAATTCCACATTTTTGAGGAAGTGTTATCGATTTTTCCGGCTATAATATATTCTGCCTAAGGAAAATTTATCCCGTGAAGCTAAAACTTTGGCTGTGTAGTTTTAAAAATAGGTTAGACAAATGAATGGCTGAGAGTTGGACCTGCCTAGCATGGGTCAATAGGCCTGCTTCAGTGCTCCTTTGTCTTAATAATGGATATGCCTGACTTAGGCTTTCCACCCGGCATCAAGACCTCTACCATTACCCTCATCACACTAACACAGAATTACACAAGTCAGGATGACAACTATGACATTTTTATTAGGGTATTTATACTCTCCCGGGATGCGACCCCTACCAGTAGGCCTACTGCAGTGTTCCTCCTCTATGTGAAGTCCCAATGGATACAAGGGAATATGCCCACTTGTGCCCGGAATCGAATCTCGGTTCTTCAGTTGATGCCACTACCAAGTCATGATATATCACTTACACATTTTATCTCTGCTTCCTACAATCCTGCAGGATGAATATAGACTGCATAATGAAGATATTATGCAAACAAACTTCCTAAAATCTAATCAGTCTTTAGTTCTAAGTTTTACAACCCATTTCTCCAATTTTTATTTACACCTTATTCAAGGTAACCTATAGAATACATTCCTCATTATTTCCTGGCCAGAGATTTCATCTCTGGTCGGGAGATAAGCTAATACTTCCCACTAAGCTGCTTCTGATATCAATTGCTTACAATCTTTCCTATACTCGCCCCACCACCTTCCCACCTAAAACAATTACTATCTGCTTCAATAACCAAACTTTAGTGAACTTATAACCTGGATATACCTTACAAGTGGGCCCTGCCCATCTCTAACGACGTCTCCAACTGGTGCAGCTCCATATAACAGTTATGGGTCAGACCATTTACTAGTGTGGTTGTCTCTACCCCTCAGACTGGTCAAGGTTCCTGTATTGATCAATGTTGCAGCACACAGCCAGGCACAGCACTCCTCAGTTACCACACCTGAAACAACATATTCGCATTATAACCATGAACATTACACACATTTATAGGCAAACATTGCCAAGTAATAAACTAGCAACTACATTACTGCCTGACTGATACACCCATCAATGTTGAATATAGTAAAACTATCTTCTTTAATCAATATTTCTTTCACACAGACCTGATGACTAACAATTTGTTTACATGCAAGTCTATCTGGATCACAGGGCGCAAGTTCCTTGGATCAAGAGACCTTCACTAAGTTATTTTTCAATAATGGAAAATAGTAGCCCAGAACTGGATACACCATTATGGGTTATGTGACGCCTAGTGTGAGTTATTGTTTGATCAGAGGAAGGGGAATAGATCCAGTTCCTTGCATCAAAACTCCTCCACTAAGGTCAATCACCCCCCCCCCTTTCCAAGACATTAGACCCCAAATTATTATAATCAAGGGGGAAGCGCTAAACCCGGAGGATTATACAGCGCCTGGGGGGGGGGGATGTGGAAGGCATTCAGGCTTAATTCGGGGAACTGGAGCACAGATCCAATTCCCTAAATCAAGAGCCCCTCACCAACATCAAGGAACCTTCCTTGAGGGGCAAATTAGACCCCAAAGAAATTTAAATTAAGACAATAATAATTTGGTGATGGTGACCAGGAACTGCAGCTCAACTCTGCTTTTGTACTGACAAATACGTCACCAGACGATACTTGCGTTATTTAGGCGTATTAAAAGGATGAAGAAGCGGTAAAGCCGGCCGGGGGATGGGTAGGAGGAGGAGCAGCACATCCCTCCTATGCGACCACTGAAGTTCAACTGACCTTTAGTGCTCCTGAGGTTGGTCACTGTCTTGACCTTCACTATAACACCCTCACTGATAACCTGACTAACTCTGACTATTACCACTAGATGGCACTACTACACCACCACTAGAAGGCATCACTATCAGTACTACCCATGGTGGAGCGCGTAACCCGTGGGTGGTCATGGATCACATGGGAGGATAAGTTCACTCCCAGGTGGCATAGATCACATTCCTTGGATGTGATCTATGCCACTACCCAGGGCCGGATTTAGACCTTGGGGGGCCTGGGGCAATTTAGGTTTGGGGGGCCCTCAACACTGAAATTAAATTGAAGTACAAATAAGAAATGAACTAAAATGAATGATAAACAGCAGTTTTTTTTTTTTTAAAAATCTTAGGTTTCGAAGAAGACGTCTGATTTTATTTTTCTCAATTTTATCGACTTTTAAGAATAACTGACTATAATTTGCAGTAATATATTCCATCGACACTATATAATAATTATCAATGTGTATTTATTTTATTTATATCTTTGGTGTCACACTTTCGGTATCTATATGGTGGCAGTTGACCAAAAGGACACATGCTTTTCCCTGACAGGAAACCACATGGCTGGATCTGAATCACACGGTGGTGCTTCACTGTCCATGTCTAAATAAGTATCTGTAGAATGTGGTTGTGGTGATTCATCACCTTCACTATCTTGATTTGGTATGTTCTTTTTATTTTCTGCAGATGCATTTCGGAATGTGGGTGGGTCCTCAGAAGAATCATCTGGTAGTTTACCTGGAGTTTACTTGGAGAGAGTTCCGGGGGTCAACGCCCCTGCGGCCCGGTCTGTGACCAGGCCTCCTGGTGGGTCAGAGCCTGACCAACCAGGCTGTTACTGCTGGCTGCACGCAAACCAACGTACGAGCCACAGCCCGGCTGATCAGGAACCGACTTTAGGTGCTTGTCCAGTGCCAGCTTGAAGACTGCCAGGGGTCTGTTGGAAATCCCCCTTATGTATGCTGGGAGGCAGTTGAACAGTCTCGGGCACCTGACACTTATTGTATGGTCTCTTAACGTGCTAGTGACACCCCTGCTTTTCATTGGGGGGATGGTGCATCGTCTGCCAAGTCTTTTGCTTTCGTAGTGAGTGATTTTCGTAAGTTCGGTACTAGTCCCTCTAGGATTTTCCAGGTGTATATAATCATGTATCTCTCCCGCCTGCGTTCCAGGGAATACAGGTTTAGGAACCTCAAGCGCTCCCAGTAATTGAGGTGTTTTATCTCCGTTATGCGCGCCGTGAAGGTTCTCTGTACATTTTCTAGGTCAGCAATTTCACCTGCCTTGAAAGGTGCTGTTAGTGTGCAGCAATATTCCAGCCTAGATAGAACAAGTGACCTGAAGAGTGTCATCATGGGCTTGGCATCCCTAGTTTTGAAGGTTCTCATTATCCATCCTGTCATTTTTCTAGCAGATGTGATTGATACAATGTTATGGTCCTTGAAGGTGAGATCCTCCGACATGATCACTCCCAGGTCTTTGACGTTGGTGTTTCGCTCTATTTTGTGGCCAGAATTTGTTTTGTACTCTGATGAAGATTTAATTTCCTCGTGTTTACCATACCTGGAGTTTACCTGGAGAGAGTTCCGGGGGTCAACGCCCCTGCGGCCCGGTCTGTGACCAGGCCTCCTGGTGGATCAGCGCCTGATCAACCAGGCTGTTGCTGCTGGCTGCACGCAAACCAACGTACGAGCCACAGCCCGGCTGATCAGGAACTGACTTTAGGTGCTTGTCCAGTGCCAGCTTGAAGACTGCCAGGGGTCTGTTGGTAATCCCCCTTATGTGTGCTGGGAGGCAGTTGAACAGTCTCGGGCCCCTGACACTTATTGTATGGTCTCTTAACGTGCTAGTGACCCCTGCTTTTCATTGGGGGGATGGTGCATCGTCTGCCAAGTCTTTTGCTTTCGTAGTGAGTGATTTTCGTGTGCAAGTTCGGTACTAGTCCCTCTAGGATTTTCCAGGTGTATATAATCATGTATCTCTCCCTCCTGCGTTCCAGGGAATACAGGTTTATGAACCTCAAGCGCTCCCAGTAATTGAGGTGTTTTATCTCCATTATGCGCGCCGTGAAAGTTCTCTGTACATTTTCTAGGTCGGCAATTTCACCTGCCTTGAAAGGTGCTGTTAGTGTGCAGCAATATTCCAGCCTAGATAGAACAAGTGACCTGAAGAGTGTCATCATGGGCTTGGCCTCCCTAGTTTTGAAGGTTCTCATTATCCATCCTGTCATTTTTCTAGCAGATGCGATTGATACAATGTTATGGTCCTTGAAGGCGAGATCCTCCTGGTTTAAATTGAATTTTGTGCAGAGATTTAAAAGCTCGTGTGAGTGTGAGTTTTCATCAGAGCTTCCTCCTGGTGTTATTACTGCAACAATATTATTTGTTATATTCCTCCATTTTAGGTGCCTTAAGTAATTGAAATTTCTCATCGTTGAACTTCATATTGTTTTCTGCAGCCCACTGAAAGATTTGGTTGATGTCCGCCTGGAGCCTTGCAGTGTCTGCAATGGAAGACACTGTCATGCAGATTCGGGTGTCATCTGCAAAGGAAGACACGGTGCTGTGGCTGACATCCTTGTCTATGTCGGATATGAGGATGAGGAACAAGATGGGAGCTAGTACTGTGCCTTGTGGAACAGAGCTTTTCACCGTAGCTGCCTCGGACTTTACTCTGTTGACGACTACTCTCTGTGTTCTGTTAGTGAGGAAATTATAGATCCATCGACCGACTTTTCCTGTTATTCCTTTAGCACGCATTTTTTGCGCTATTACGCCATGGTCACACTTGTCGAAGGCTTTAGCAAAGTCTGTATATATTACATCTGCATTCTTTTTGTCTTCTAGTGCATCAAGGACCTTGTCGTAGTGATCCAATAGTTGAGACAGACGGAAGCAGAGAAAAATTCTGTAAGGAGTTTTGTCTTTGCCAAGACCGTAGCATTTCTTTCACTTGATTCTTTGGAAATCTTTCTTTTCTGAGCTCTTGACAACTGAATTTTCCGTGGCATACTGGGTGTTCTGAAAAAACAAATTTTCAGATTTTTTGACATTTAATGACAATGTAGTTAATGTCACACACATACACACACACACATGTATATTTATTTATTTATTTATTTAGTAATTTGAGCATACATACAGAGGTACAAAAAAATACAGGTAAGAGCAGCATGCCAAAGGCACTTATATGCATAGCATTACGGGCTGGCTTAAAATTAACTTAAGATTAACAAAGCAATGATGTAATCAGTGATAAAACATTATTGTAAACAGATAACAATAAAGCACAAATGAGTATTACAAATACAGGTCATATGGTTGCATGCATTGCTGTACATTCAGTAGAATGGAGTATTCTGTTAGGTAGTTTATTTAAAAAATAACAAAGTTAGATTGGGTCTTAGGTTTAACATTTATGTGATATAATTGTGAGAAACATTTAAGATATACAATTTATAAGGTTCAGTTATTCAGTATTTATTTGGTTTTGGGTAAGTAAGTGATCTTTGATAAGAGACTTGAATTCATAAACAGGTAGTGTTTCTTTTATATTTACAGGTAATGAATTCCAGATTTTAGGGCCTTTTATGTGCATTGAGTTTTTGCATAGAGTGAGATGGACACGAGGAACATCAAAGAGTGATCTGTGCCTTGTATTATGGTCATGTGTTCTGTTGAGGTTGGCAAGGAGATGTTTGAGGGGAGGGTTAATATCTATATATGTAATAGGTGCAGTAATAAGTATGGATGTTTTGTATGGTGAGTAGGTTTAGTGTTTTGAATATTGGTGGAGTGTGCTGTCTGTAGTGGGAATTTGTTATCATTCTGACTGCAGCCTTTTGTTGGGTAATTAGTGGTCGCTTCTAGACTGTTGTATTCTGAGCACCTCTGCAAAAACAGTGATTATGTGTGAGTGAGGTGAAAGTGTTGAATGATGATGAAAGTATTTTCTTTTTGGGGATTTTCTTTCTTTTTGGGTCACCCTGCCTCGGTGGGAGACGGCCGACTTGTTATGTGTTGATTGTGTGAATGATGGTGAAAGTGTGGAATGATGATGAAAGTTTTTCTTTCTTTTTTGGGTCATCCTGCTTAGGTAGGAGATGGCCAGCGTGTTAAAAAAAACAACTGCTGAGTATATCAGTGTTAGGCAGAT